GATGATGAATGGATGTTTGGAAGGATGGTGTATGGATGATGGATGGAAGGATAATGGATGGAAGGATGATGGATGGAAGGATGATGGATGGATGATGGATGATGGATGGATGTTTGGAAGGATGATGGATGGAAGGATGATGGATGGATGATGGAAGGATGATGGATGGATGATGGATGGATGATGGAAGGATGATGGATGGATGATGGATGGATGACATGCAGGATGTTGTGAAGCTGTAAAGGTGTCTCCTTAGTGAAGCAGCAGGTTGTCTTGAATCTTCTTCCTGAGCAGAACGTTGGCGACAGTGGGAAGGAATGACTGTGTTTAAGCAGGAAGCAACCTCCAGCAGAACCAGAACCAGAACCACTTGATCACAGACCAGTGTCCCAGTCGTCTCCCCTTGTTGGGGCAGAGTCGGGCAGGTGTTGTTTGGTACCATCATGTGGAGCTGAAGGCGGAGCAGTGCGTGCTCAGCTCTTCACTTGGTTTCCATCATGATGGTTCGCTGCCAGCAGATAAGAACGTCTCCGCTCTCTGCTCCTAAGAAGCAACGAGTGTAATTAAAGCACGAGCCTGGAGCTCGTCTCTGTTCACGTGGCAGCAGTGCACGTTATCACCGGCTGCTGATGCGCCGGTGCAGAGCAGGAAACACAGCGCTGGTGTGCAGCTCATGACGGTCTGTGGTCTCACCGCAGGAGCTGGAACAAATCATCTCGCAGATGATGCGCGTGGCCGAGTACCTGGAGTGGGACGTGACGGAACTCAAACCGGTAAGATTCCATCCGCACGTCCGGAGACAGACCTCAGAGACAAGACCAACTCATAACGAAGGTCCTGAAGAACAAAGTTAGGTCTTCTCTTATTTTACAGACAATCTTGAGATGATTCCACAGCAAATCCAAAGTCAGCTCTAAATATTTGTTCTTGGGACTAAAAGCTCTTTTCGTGTTAAATTGTAGATCCTTCAGGAAATGATGCAGGAAATCGACTATGACCACGATGGGATTGTGACCCTGGATGAGTGGATCCAGGGAGGCCTGACCACCATCCCCCTGCTGGTCCTGCTGGGCCTGGAGACGGTGAGTCCACCAAGAGCTGAACTCTGGATCAACTGCCACTTTTCCAGCGTTGTTTCAGTCCATTAGCTCCTCAACAAATAAGAATAAAAATAGTCTGTCTGAGCAGTTTTTTTTAACTCGCTGCTTGGCAACACATCACAACGCCTAAACATCTGCTGCTGTTTCAAATAAACACACGAGTGTTTCAGCACGCAGCCGAACCTTGTCCGCATCTTCTCTCACATTTTGCAGATGAACATCTCTCCTCCGTTCCTTATTTAAGCTCAGTTAGGATCAGTCCTGCAACATGAATATGGAAACGAGTTCAAATGTGCTGCAGTGCATTTACAGTTCACAGAAATATGTAGTGTCAAAGCAAGGGCATAAATCAGACATTAGCCATTTTAGTTTAATTTTTGAACTCGATTTTTGTATTTAAATTATGATAAAATACTAAAAGATTTTTTTAAGTAGAATAATTTTGTTTTCATTAATGAGCATTCCAAATGTTTGACCTACTTACAGAAGAACGCTAAGAATAAAAAGACACGCAGTTCGTTTCTTGTCCACTAGATGGCAGCATTGGACTGAAAGTCCCTCCTCCAAAATTAATCTTTATTTTTACTTATTTATTTCCCAGAACTCAACTTTAAACTCTAATTGAATATAAAAGATGATTTAGTAGTCGCATAATTTGCTAGAATAAAGCAAATAAATCAGTCAGTTTATCCATGGTTTGATGCGTCTTCACAGAATGTCAAAGATGACGGGCAGCACGTGTGGCGGCTGAAGCACTTCAACAAGCCGGCCTACTGCAACCTGTGCCTCAACATGCTGATCGGACTCGGCAAGCAGGGACTCTGCTGCTCATGTGAGGATGCTTTAGTATCATACGAAGATTTACATCTCACCATCCGCTGGAGAACCTGACCGTTCGACTCGTGTTCTGGAAACTATTTGAGTTCATTAAATCACAATTCAAGTACAAATTCAATTCAGTTCAGTTTATTCATATAATTCAGTTTATTCATATAATTCAGTTCAATTCAGTTTATTTATAGAATTCAGTTCAGTTCAGTTCAGTTTATTTCTAAAGCTCCAAGTCACAACAGAGGTCGTCTCAGGGACTGAACAGAAACATACAATGTAAGTTAATAACATTATTTATCTGAGGATACATATAAAACTTTTAATTTGCATAAAAGCAACTCAAGTTACTTAATTCATTTGTTTGAATAAAATTAAGAATATTTAACTTTACTTTTATCTCTTTTCAGTAACTACAACTGAAGCGTTTATTCTTGAGTTTTCCTTCCTCTCTTCACTTAATCCATCAACCGTTGGTTTATTAAGGAATCACTCATTTTCTTTTTAGTCCGTTATTTTTATTTGAGTTGTTAAAATGTCGTTCGTCAACATCAGAATTATTGGCTTAGATTTACTGATGGTGCAGCTTGATTTAATTTATTTTTGATCACATTAGCTCCTCTGCATCTGCGTTTAAGATCAAAAAAGTCAAAATAACAAATTTGTTTTAAGCTTAGAAAATGTCCACGCACTGAAAATTGATTTAATTCTACAATAAAACAGTTTGAGAGCAGTTTACTTATAGAATTTAGTCCAACACTTCCTGAGTTTTGGTCAGTTTCTTCTTTTATGAAGTTGTTCTGAGTGTGTAATCATATTTATTTATGTAATTATAATCTAAAATATCTAAACCCACCTACTGAAGCCTTGATTCAAACATTAAATACTGTTTTTCTCTTGCGTTCTCGTTTGTTTCGTGTTGGAAACCTGGATCCTGTTTTGTTCTTTCCAGTCTGCAAGTACACGGTGCACGAGCGCTGCGTGGGTCGAGCTCCTCTGTCCTGCATCAAAACGTACGTGAAGTCCAAGAAAAACGCCGAGGTGAGTCCAGCAGACACGGCACACGCGTGTGGAGGGGTCTGCAAGCTGCGGCTCTGGGGCCACAACTGGCCCCTTCGTGCCTCTGAGCCGGCTCGTCGGAGCTGCACCAACATTTAGATTTAGAAGCAGCTAAATATATTTGTAGCACTTTTACAGTTTCCTACAATATGCAAATAAAAACCCATTGATTAACACTTCGTTAGCCAGGCTTCATTATTTGAACTTCCAGGACCTGGGGGGTCTTTCTCTGAAATACAACATGAAGTTTTGGAAACCTAATATACGAGTTATTACAATGAAAACGAAAAGATAACATTTATTTTTCATTTCAAAAACTCATCATTAAAGTTTAAAAGTCTAATTTATTTATAAAGCACATTTGAAAACAGCCGCTGTTACCAACGTGTTTAACAATAAAAATCAAAGGCAGTAATTAAAGAAAAAATACCAAAAATTAATTAAAAATATCAAAAGAAAAACATAAAAACACAGAACAATAAAATACTAAATCAAATCACACTGTGTTAAAAACCAGAGGAAACAGGTGTTTTTAAGAGATTTAAAAACAGGAAGTGAAATAAATAAATAAATATATTATTATTATTATTATCATTATTAATATTATATAAATATATAATAAATAACTAAATAAATGAAGGTTTCAGTTATTATTAGAGGAAACTCTTATTGAAACAAACATCAACAAACTGCCCTAATGTTCATATTTTCTTAATTTATTAGAAAGCACAACAATATTTCAGTGTAGAGTTCTTGTTAATTTTCCACAAATATTTTAAGGCCTCCATAATTGATTGGTTCTGTTTTCCTGAATGTGGTTAAAAAAAAGAGTTTTTCCTTGTTCCAAACTGTAAAAACATTGATAAATGTCTTCGGAGTCAAATGATCAACGTGACTGAATTGCCTCTTCTGATGGTGAAGTTTGCAGATCTTGGCTCTGTGTCGTTCTTTCCCTCAGGTTGCCTCTAAGCGCCGTTCATTAGCAGGATACGGACGGTTGCAGACTCTGCCAGCGCCGTTTGTCGGGCCGCTCTCTTTCTTCTTGCTTTAATTGTTGTGTCACTTGTGCCTTTGTGTACATCTTGTTTTTCTGCACCACGGTTCTTTTCTCGCTGCCTTTCCTCCCAGTATGCCGTCTCTCCGCCTCTCTGCAGGTAATGCATCATTTCTGGGTGGAAGGGAACTGCCCCACCAAGTGTGACAAGTGTCACAAAACCATTAAGTGTTACCAGGGCCTGACTGGGCTCCACTGTGTGTGGTGTCAGATCACGGTAAGCTCCCCCCGCGGAGAGGCAGCCACCTCCTCATTATATTCCCACTGCTTCTTCTTGTTTAGGGTTTGCTTTTTGCACCTCTCATTCCTCACAAGTCATCGCACCAATTTACACTCAGAAAACACTTGTTTGCAGTTGCAAGATAATAAAAACTCAAACCGTAACAATGACATGTGCATCGCAAATAACTTCTGAAAATATCCCTGAAATGTTGATTTTTGTTTATATCATCACTTGCTGGTTGTTAATAATAACTTCCACCTTCTCCAGCTCCATAACAAGTGTGCCTCCCACATGAAGCCTGAGTGTGACTGTGGACCCCTGAAGGATCACATCCTGCCCCCCAACTCCATCTGCCCCGTGGTCCTGGTAAGACCTGCCTCTCTGTGGTCAGCAGCCTGAGAGAACATGAGCGTCTGTCGCGAGGACTCAATCAGCAGCTGTGTTCTCCTACTGAGCTCTGAGATGGCAGCAATTTATTTTCCACTAGTTTATTTCCAAAACTGTAGCAGGTCTGCTTGAAACAGGAAAGGTGTGCTCACCTAACGGGCTTCTTAAAAGCATGAAGGATCAGCTGCTCTAAGTTGGCCTGGAAGTTTATCAAACAAGACCACGAAGAAGTCACTGAATGTTCAAAACTGCTTTGACTTGAACACAATAAATATAGATTTTATTGGGTTATATTTTTTTACCAATAAAAATCAACATTTCTTTTAAATTTCTTAAAAAAACCCTGTCCACCCCTGGACGCCTCCATAAGGAGGAGCTCTGGAAGTGTCCAACTGGGAGGAGACCCCGGGGAAGACCCAGAACACACTGGTGAGACTATGTCTCCCAGCAGGGGGACATTTTGGAGTCCCCCCAGAACATCTGGAAGAGGAGGCTGGACCTCCCTGATCAGGCTGCTGCCCCGAGACCTGAGTCCAGAACCAGATGATGGATGATGGATGATGGATGGATGGATGGATGGAAGGATGGATGGATGGATGGATGGATGGATGGATGGATGGATGGATGGATGGATGGATGGATGGATGGATGGGTGGATGATGATGGATGGATGGATGGGTGGATGATGACGGCTGGCTGGTTGGATGGATGGATGGATGGATGGATGGATGGATGGATGGATGGATGGGTGGATGATGACGGCTGGCTGGTTGGATGGATGGATGGATGGATGGCTGGCTGGCTGGATGGATGGATGGCTGGCTGGATGGATGGATGGAAGGATGGATGACAGATGAATGGATGGATGGATGGAAGGATGTATGACAGATGAATGGATGGATGGCTGGCTGGCTGGCTGGATGGACAACAGATGAATGGATGGATGGATGGATGGATGGCTGGATGGATGGATGGACAACACATGAATGGATGGATGGATGGATGGATGGCTGGCTGGCTGGATGGATGGATGACAGATGAATGAATGGATGGATGGATGACAGATGGCTGGATGGATTTAGTTAGCAGTTTTCTACCTTTAGTTGTTGTTACTTCATGTTTCCAGAATAAAATGTAATTTTCTTAGTTTGTGTTTGAGATCTTCAGTTTGAGCATGCATCAGGAGATCTTCAGTTTGAGCATGCATCAGGAGATCTTCAGATTATGTTAAACATGAAAAGAAGATGAAAGAACAACGTCCAGACGACCGGACTGAACGCTGTGGATTCTTTCACCTGGATTATCGAGCGTGGTCTTCAACAAGGAGCTTCTTCGCAGCTTCAATGATCCAAAGTTTGTTTCTTATTCTGCAGAATCAACTCCTTCTGGTCAAATTAAATCACAGGTTCACCTGTTTCACTTGGCGCTCCGAGTCACTGTGTTTAAACATCACATTTCACTATTTATATTTATTGATATTTATGAATATATTTCATCATTATGCTAAATCACCGCTGTGTACAGCTGCTGAGCTCATGTGACACCACGACCTGCTGCTTGGTCTGAGTCACAGCAGGTCTGTTCTCTCTGCGGCCACTTTGTTGAAGATCTGCCTGAAAACAACCCTGTGACCTTCAAACCTGCGTCTTTCCCTTTGGCTTCAGGAGCGGCAGTCGACTCTGAGGAAAGACTCGCGGTCGAGCCAGTCCAGTCGAGGAAAGATGCAGAGAGCCAACTCGGTCACCGTCGACGGCCAAGGACTGCAGGTTCAACTCCACTCTGCCCCTGAGCTTTAAACCTGACGCTCCACGTCACAGGATTTAAAAACCTGCAGAGATTTATTTTTAAATTGAATTAAAACACGGGGCAGAGTCTGATCTTTTGATTTTTAATGTTCTTTGTGGACACAGTTTGCAAAATGAGTCCAAACGTCCTCGTTAAACAGAGATGATGAATATGAAGTTAGAGCTTCAGACTGACGGCATCTTCACGCAGAACCAGGTTTTTAACTTGATCTTGTGCGAGAAGTCATGTGACTGGTTCACAGAGTCCCAGTCTCAACACAGACCTGCTCCAAACAAACACACAAGATAAAAATGCAGATCTATTCAATTCAGTTTATTTATAAAGAGCCAAGTCACAACCGACGTCGTCTCAGAAACGTTCAACAAAAGTTTGGTAAGCTCGTTGGATCTTCACTTCGTCGCAGATAAACACAGTCAAACAAAACTTACCACATTTAAATGAAGATATGAGATAAAATCAGAATAAACGTAAAAGCTAGAACCAGATAATACTTTACTTCATTGCCCTGATAAGTTTTAAATCCTTTAGTGGACTCAAAGTGGACAGCTTGAAGATCAGTCGAGCATCTTGGCTCCGAAGCAGAAATTAAATCTGTGTCATGAGTTTGTCTTAGCACCAAGTTTAAAGAATCGTAAGTCAATCTTTGTTCCAGCGAGCTGCTTCGTTGCTAAATGTGCAGATTTTAAACCAGGCTGGACTCCTGCTGCAAATCAGAGTCCTCCAGCAGAGCCCGGTTCAGCCCGATCCTCGGCCATCAGCGTGTCAGCGTGTCTGTGGAGGCTGAGAGAAAAATGCCATGAATCATATCGCAGGCACATCCGTCTGTGCCTCTCGCTGGCGAACCAGCGTAATAATCCAGATTATTATTTATAATTACAGGAAGTAATGCATCACTCCATAGAGGACAGGGGGCTCATTAATTCACCCTCGGCCTGCTGGGATAGTGGGCAGGGGGAGCTAAGTGCTTCATCTGTGTCAGGGAGAGCGCTGGTCCAGTTGTAGGCAGGACGACTCGAGTTGGGCCTGCGGCGCCGCAGACTCACCCTCAGAGTTCTGGGTGAACCCTCACTGCAGCGTCAGAGAAATGAGCAGGGACAAATAAGAACTGGACTGTGAGGGATCAGGACGAGTTTATTGATAGATTAGTCCTGCTGGGCTGCAGGTAGTCGTGGTGTAATATCTCCACATCTCTCGAAAGTCTTAAAATGTGAAACGTCAGGGAGAAACTGGAAGAACACACTTGTCAATGTGCATTATCATATTATTAACAGTTAACAGTATTTTATAAATATTACAAAAACACGCACCGCCTGCAGTTCCCCCCTTACACAGTAGGGGTCGCTAGAGAAAGATAATGGAGCAGGAATGGCAGCAGAAGAAGAGGTAGTTCATCTGCACATGGCTGAGATTAAATTTGTAGCAAACTGTGCTCTTTAATATTTGTTGTTACAGTTCGACATGTGTTATAAGATAAATTATTTATGTTTGCATCTCGTCAGTTCTCGTGTTTTATCCTTCCATATGCAGATAAAAGGAAGGTTGGACTGGTCAAGTTCTCGTTCCACCAGAAGTTTTGCAAAAGCTGCCAGTCTGAATGTGGCGCTCCACGGTCGTGCTTGATCCACGATCGCTGGCAGTGGTCTGATGCTCTGTTGGCAGATGTTATGTTTCCACCTCAATGTCTTCTCAGTGATTCTAACCTTTTGTTTGATTTCATAGATTTAAATTGACACTTTGAAATCACAGTGAAACCATTTGACCACCCAACACCATGGTGGAACATCTGTAGACGTCCTCACATGAACTGTCCTGCAGCTGCTAATCATCCGGATCAAACTGGCAAAAAAATGTTCCTCCCAAAATGTGCACAAGGATCTTCAGCCATGTTTGAGGACGTTACCTGGTCTTTAACATCCATCCATCCATTCATCCATCCATCCATTCATACCACACAACCATCCATACAATCATCCATCCATTCATCCATCCATCTATTCATACAACCATGCATCCATACAAACATACAACAATTCATCCATCCATCCATACAATCATCTCTCCATCAATCTATTCATCCACACAACCATCCATACAACCATCAATCCATCCATACAACCAAC